TCACCCACCATCTCTGCCCAGGTCCACAGTGCCTTCAGAGGTAATTTTCCACCCATTTCTTCTCACCACCAGCTTTCCAGTAGTTAGAACAAGTCTACACTGGCTTCACATGCCTCAGAACACTTAGAGCAGACGCCAGTAGAGCAGACCTGCTTGAAGCCGGCCAGCTGAGGTGGCTGATCTTATCCGCTGCCATTTCCTGAGCTCAGCACTGTCATGCTGGGCTGAAATTCAAAAGGGCAAAACCAGCAGAGTCACTCATGGGTGACCTTTTCTGATTTATACTCTTGAATTGCAAGTCCCCCCTCACATCACTGGAATGCCTCCTCTTTGTTGATTTGGGTTGGTCATAAATAATCCAGTGATTATCTCAAAGTTTCCCACACGGAGCACTTCAATCGCAGCATGTGCACAGCAAAGGAGTTCTGTATTTTCTCAAATCTAGTAAGACACTTTTTCACATCCCTTAGGGACTGAAAAGCCAGAAGTCCTATTAGACATGTGTGTTGGCAGAGTAGACAATTTCCAGGGGACAACTATCCTGTGGCATCCATCCTCTTTCTCTGATGGCATATGAAGGCACCACGGACCACCTTCCGTTTTGCACAAGCCAGGTGCAGTCAGGCAGAAAAACAGGAATCCATCAGCTGCTTTGTGTTAACTTCTTCCATTTGCTCTTACTCTGCTGTAAAAGCAAGGTGAGCAAGAAGGTTATAGAAGGAAATTTTGTCCAGAACTAGCTATGTTCCCCACCTAGGAAATTCAAGAGTTAGCAGGAAAGGCTTTGTGTAAGCCTTCCTCATTCATCCCTAAAAAGTCTGAAGGAGAGAAATCATGCCACAGAGATGCACTTTGGCTGCTCATGCAGCTTCTCTGCTATTCTGGTAGCTACAGCTACCTACATTAGTGAGCATCTTAAACACAAGTCTTCCAAGCTGTAACTTTTCAAGCTGCAGCGGGATGAATCACACCTACACTGCACGGCCTGGTGCCTCCTTGGAAAGCAAGGATCCCTGCAACACAAAAAGAAGTGCACTGAAATTGGTCAGCCGGCATGTCAGCCTCCTTTTCTGCCTTCCTCTAGCACAGCACCATGAGGGGACAGTCCTCTCGAGTCATCAACGTGATGTGTCACAATCTGAAAATGCACCACAAGGTCTCTGTGGGAGCCCTTCCCATCACTCCAATATTCCCCTGAACAGCTTCAAGCTGGTGCTGTGGTGAGATATGACATTACAAGAAGATGGTATGGGGAGCTGAGAGACAGCCAACACATCCAGATCATTCTTTCAACAAAACATGGATCTTTCTACAAAATCCCAAACAGGATTGCAGATAACAGTAAATAAAAGTAAGCACTTCTTAAATGGCGTTGGCCTAATCCCACTATTATTGAATAATAATCATTGAGGGCATTACACTGCCATATAGACCAAATGTGAACTTAAATTAACCAAGGGCAAATGAGCAAATTTCTCTTATGTACGGCACCAGCATTCAAGTAAAGTTGCTTCACCCTCCACTTAATTGCTACAGTTAATTTTTGCACAGCACCCACAGCTTATCAAACAAGGTGGAAAGCAAAAGGTGCGTAATGAAACTGCTGTGCAGTCCTGCAGAAGGCACCCTCGCAGAGATACAGCTCTTTAGTGCATTGCAGTAGAAACAAATTACAAAGGTTTATAACATTTTGTCTAATATCAAAACTAACTAGTTCAAAATCTAAACCACTTTCTCAGGGATGATGACTAAGAAGTAACTTGCTTAGGGATAAATTATAACTGCCTGCTGCAGGAGTCTTTGTCTCGCCTGTAAAACATCCAATTCCAACCACCAACAAACCATGGGATAAGGCAGACCACTAGGCTGATGCAGCCTGACAAAACCTACTCCAAGAAAAAGCCATTTGTAAATGCTGGGATTCATTTGATTTTTAACCTCCTCAGTTCCCCCCTTTTGTTCCATTTGGTAGTTTCTCGTAGCTAGTATTACTTTTGCCACGTGCATTCTTATCCAGAAAGCATCAAATGCTGCCAGCTGCCCTGATCTGCTTAAGAGTATAACTCATTTCCCTCAGTAAAACCAAACCCTGTGATGCGCTTTGTTCCCACCTTGGCTCTGGGTGGTAGCTTAGCAAAGCCAGAAGGAAACCCAGCCCAGCAACAACCTGTATTGCCTCACTAGCTCCCCAAAGTACGTAGGTTTCCCTTGCTTCTGTGACTGGATAAGACTTAAATGAATGTTATCAAGCTACAGAAAGGCTGACTTGGAAATGCAAGCCTTCCAAACTGTGACTTTTTAAGCAGCAGTGAGGATGAGATGGCACATATAAACGCTTACATTTAAGAGCACATGGCTAAAACAGAGGATGCTCCTTCAGCACACCAGCCAAGCTTCAAGAGGCAGCATTTGCTTTGCATTACAAGGTGTCTGGAAGCGCAAGATACTGCAGCACTAAAACACACAAAGACACAACACTCTAAGCCCAAGATCAACTAACGGAGTTGACAAGAGTCAACCCCACTGAAATGCCTCAGATCCCTCGAGCACAAGAGGCTCCACCAGCTGGTGAAGTGTTTTACTCTTTCTGTTTATTCAACAGACTTTCCAGCTACTTGAAGACTTGGAAGGCCACAGCTTGTCTCAGGATTCGAGTAGTTCTTGTACCAGAAAGCTGCTACTCCGTGATCTGTGACTCTGAATTATTCAAAGCTCCACGATCAAGAAGGCAGAGAGGAAGTGTTCTTCTGTTGGCTCTGGCTGGGACTGAGACAGGACCAAAACCCTTTGAATGCTGTCTTCAGGGTCCAGCAGGCTATATCTTGGCACTGGACTTCACAAGCATCCACCTCACTGTTGCTCATGTCAGATGGTCTACAGGTCTGCGAGGTCTGCTGTCAATAAACCGTGTTCACTAACTGATGAGTCTGTGCTCCCTCTTGAACGCAGAGCAGGTTGCAGCATGATAGCTGCCAACATGGGAGTTCTTCAGAAGCATTTCCTAAGGATAGTACATCATTTTTTCCAGTCAGGGCACAAATTCCAGTTGCTTCAAAACAAGTGTCCTAGGTTAGAGTAGGAGACAATGTGTTCCTGCCTTCATTTGAGCTCCCACATGGAAAGTGCTGACTGCTTGCATTCTAAATACCTTGGGAACTGGACATTTGATCCCAACACCAGAGAGCAGATTGCTTTCCGGTGACGAGAATGTCACTTGATTTAAGCCAGCTTCATTTCTGCAAGACAAATCTGTTGACCTGGGTGCAGTTTTATTCTTGAGGTAAGTATTCTTGAGGTGATTCAGGCAGGTAGGACCTCCCTCCTCCTCTGCCAAGTCCTGCCAGGGGCATGACTGAGGTTGGCATTAGCCTCTTACAGTTTGTTACCTGACACAGGTACTGAACAGCACAAGCCAAGAGAGCCCTGAGGCTGAGGTCAGGCCTTTGAAACAAGTCTTTGCTTTTGATTTTCCAGTAAGCCAAATACAGAAATTCATGGAAGGCCAAGGAAGGTAGAGCTGGCCACAGGCTAAGCCTGGGAGGGCTGATTTACATCTCTCTGAAGCTGGTCTCTTGTCTTACTTGGACTCGGGATTGCACACGCAGAGGTCAGTCACCAGCCCCTCTTTCCTCTCCTAACGCCTCCAGTTCGTAGTTGCCAAAGAACACCCACCTGCCAGGTCTCACTGCTTAGCAAAACAACCTAGCTCATCTTTGTCCTTTGTACTACAACAGTTGTTTTCACTTCAATAATTCAGCTCCCCAGAATTTCATTCCCCCTCGCTTCATTTTCCCATAGTGAAATATAATTTGGAAGGCCTTTGAGGAAGTTCCAGACAACGTTGCTCATTTCATTTCAACTCAGACAATTCCCAAATTACCAGAATATCATACACTGGCCTCAAAATCACCACGTATCCCCCCCCCCACCACCACCACAAAGGTTTCTCCCCAAATTCTTTTATGTCATTGATAACCATCAGTTAATGAATAATAACAGCAGCACTTGCCTTAAAGGGACCCAAGCACTATATCTACCAATGAGGATTGGGCTGTCACAGGAGGGACCAGAGATCAAAGGGGACTGACTGACTCAGCTTCTTTGTTGCTAGACTGTAACAACTTATCTGACTCCCAGTAGGTAGAAAATAAAACAATTTTCAGAAAAACACAATGTGAAGGTCTGCCCTTAACGTTTTTCTCCACTAAGCTATGCACAAAAGCCTCCCATTTCTCAGAAAGGGCATAAAAAACAGGAACGGATAGAACTCGAATAGCAAGCAAATGAACAACTGTCCTCAGAAAAAACAACATACTATTACTCCTTTATTTTGCACTCTACATTGGTAAGGTTTCTACTAGGCATTTTAGGGAGAGAGATCAGAATTATACGCCATTTCTTTCCTGAGCTAAGGGGATCACCGCTTTACATCCTTCCATTATTAACCAGTTAAAGTCAAGAGACTTGTCATACAGCTCCAGGCTGCCCTCTGTTTCTTAGGCAAAACCTGAGTGACTGACGTCAACATGTTCCAACCAAGAGCCACAAGCTAGTTATTACTAGCAGCAGCACAGCTAATGCTGACCGTCCTTCCCATGCCCACGGTAGTAGAGCAGGGGCTGAGGACAGACATTTGCTGCAAGCTCTTTGTCCTAATGGTACCACTTAGCCACCTACCTTTGGTCTCGTTCCAGAAAGGCACATACGGAACTTCCTGTAAAGCAGACAGCAAGCGCTAGCTGGCTGTTTAGTTATTCATCTCAAAAGTAAAGCTGAACTATGAAGACCAAACAGCTCTCTTCCCCAGAGCTATCACTTCTTCTGCCATCACTTTGTGCCACATCGGATGAGCAGCTGGGTGAGCTCTGCAGTCCCTGGTCACCAGATGAGTGGAAAGACAAATGCACTATCTCTCCTGGGTTGCCAATTAACAATGTTTTTCACTGTCAACAAACTCCTGGAAATTTTGGTGAAAAAGAGCAATACACCCATGCCCTTACCTTGGCCTCGAGCGTGTTTAGCCTCTCAGTCATATCCGCTAGTCTTGTGCAGTTCATGCATTCTAGAAAGAACAAAGCAAAACGATGTAATCTCTGCGTACTTTGCATCTTAATCTACAGCTTTAAATTTGCAAGCCCTGATCCCCTTTTCATCCAAAACACACAAAAAAAGTGCTTCAAGATCAGTTCTGGGGGGAAAAAAAGTATTAACTCTATCGCACACGTAAGTAGCCACAGACACCTTGCATGAACCTTTGTTTCTTGCTGCTCACTGGTGCAGAACGTGGAATCGTGTTCCCAATGGGTAGAAGGTAGGGGAGGAAAAGATGAGTTTTAAGACTTTCCCTGGTGCCAACCAGTATGACCTGTTGTGTCCTTGCAGCAAAGTACTGGTGATATGTTCTGTCATGAGTGCAAGCTGGTGTGGCATGTGCTCCCACCTCACAAGACATGAGGCTGCACAACCACTACTCCCACTGAGCTCACCGCTCTACTCACTGCTGTACCAGATCCTGGTGAAACGCCTAGGAAACCAACGAACGTACAAAATGCCCTTCTCTGTGGAGTCCTGGTCCATTCTCGAGCTCCCAGGCTCTGTTACCACTCCCATAACAAATAATCAGTCTCAGTGACAGCAAGAAAAAACAAGACAGACCCCAGGGCTGCAGTAGACCAAAGCTGCAGTATGAAGTGGTTTATATCTCACTTTACTGCATAGAAGCAATAGATAGGCAGTAACCACCAAAGGGGTCTTGACAGGATGCCTTACGAAGAACAAACGTTAACTTAATGGGCTCTAGGTGCAGTTTAAAATGATTGCTTGATACAAAGGACATCACTTATCTAAACAAGAGGCCTGCTGCTTTGCCTCTGTTTTCATTTCAGCAATTTTAAAGTGAGTGAAGGAGGATAAAGCCCTGAACAGAGATTTAATCAACAGGGCACTTTCCCAGCACTTTGCAGTAATACAGAACTGCACATTCCCAGCTAACAGAGAAACTTTCCAGACTGGTCCATTCACCTATCACAACTTTTGAAGTGCAACAGTTTTTAAAAAGGGAAAATGACTTGCAACATAAAGTATTACAGAGAATAAACCATCCGTACTCATGCGATGAATCACTGCCTGCTCATGTCCCACAGATGAGAAATACATACCTGCATGCATTTCTGGTCTCCTTAAGGGCCAGAGCCAGTTCTCCCTGATTCATGGTCGCTGAAGCAGTATTTATTACTGGTATTTCCATAGGGCTGGGAGGGCTGACCAATAATTTTTAGGCCACTTAATAGACCATTTGGGTGGAGTTCTCAGGCTGAGGCTGCATCAGTGCAGGGGATGTTGAGTAACTCCAGTGCCTAGCTCTAGGGAGGAATGGGCGAACACGAGTGCTGAGATCAAATATCACCAGGACGCCTGGGACTCAGCTGTCCCTCTGGCAAGCCCTTTTGCATTAGGGCACCTGAGGAACATCTCCAGTCTTCACCCACAAACACTTTCCAGCTTTATGAAGCATGTGGTATGTACTCATGGCTGTCAGCCATACCAAGATTTTAGTATGTGGCTCATACGGTCAGGATGGTTGACTACTCCACATTACTGATTTACAGCCCAAGAAGATTACTTGAGTGCTAATGGCAACCAATCACCCATCGCATAAACCTTTCGAAGAAATTCTCTCTCCTTGTTCCCCTGGGGGCAAATAAAATCTCCAGGAGGAGCTGTGCAGCTTCCCAAAGGAATTTGACATATACTTTCCACTTCATAATGAGACATTTTGCAAACAAAGTATCTGACAGCTCAGGCACACTTGGATTGAGGAATTTCCTTAGAGGTCAATAATGTCATAGACTTTCTTTTGGTCAAGCAGAAATAACATTTATGTATTTTTATTCCCTGCAATGAGTCTTGGGCAATAAAATATTTTGGCCTGAACTGGCCCATGAATACACAAGCCTGTAAGGGCACTGTCTCACAGTGAGGGTGAGGCTTGTTTGGTCTGGATCTGTTTGTGGTGTTTGAAACAGGGAATTATGTTCTGTATGTAACCGGTTTCATGCTTTTGATCTTGCTCATCCCCATAGAAAGATAAGACCGAATAATTCCAGTACTCCCAAGAGCCAAAAAGCGTACCAGATGTGTTACAAAGCAAATAAAATATGGAGTCCTATTCTCCCCTCTGCTGGCTTGCACATATTAATAACTCCCGTAGGTTTCAGAGAGAATGACTTGGACTGTCTGAAATTCATCTCTGTCCAGAATATGAGATGGATAGAGCACTTAAGCACTTTTTGGAGAACTCAGCTCATAAAAAGAGCTTGTACCACCCCTCTGCAGAGGGGTGAAACAACCAGCTCACAAGGGGAGAATATTCTGATTGTCTGTGTTTCACCGAATGTAGGAACAGTGCTGGTCCAGCAGCCCCCTCTGCTCTCAAGGGAGGTCTCAAAGTACTCTCTCACATGTATTTGCAGGACACAAGGTTAATTTTAGAGGAACAAAATGACCAAACGGGGGACAGGAGGCAGCAGTGCCACTGCACTACAGCAATGGGCTTGTGCTAACATCGTTTTGTTGTCAGTGATGAATCAGCAAAACATAGGGAAAACAGCCTAGGTCAGCTAGAGAACTAATTAAGCCCAAGTCACATTTGAACTCTGATCCTTTCCTTCTTGAAGTGCCTGGAAACCCAGCTGCACACCCAAGGAACTTGGCCTGGACCCAAATGTCATTCGACTAACCCAGAAAGCAGAAGCCCTAATGCAAAAAATCTTATTACTAAGGCAAATTGTCCGGCAAACAAATCTTCATGACGTTTACTCGGTTAACAGACGGACGATGCTTTCAAACATGAAGAGCAAGATGAATACTCAGCATCGCTCTTACAGGAACTGTATTCAAAGCTCACTCCAACCATGCCAGGGACAGGACTGCTTCAAGGGCAGGGGCTGTCTGTCCTTCCAAAAAGGCTGAGGAGATGGTGACAAATCAAGCTACTAAATAACTTCCCTAACTACTATGCACTGAAGTACTAAGTATCTAATCCTGATGGCTGGTGATTCCAAGGCCCAGGCCCACAAAGTGGAATTTTCTGATCAGGGAGAAAGCAATCTGCTTTATTAAAACTAGCTTGAGAGTCTCACATCATTATTTCACATACAATGAATATAACACTGGGGCAAAAGCACATACTTTCTGACCTGGAATTCCAGTGCAGACGCTTTCCATATCTGCAGAAATTCATCACTTGTTGCTACACACAACCACAGTTTATTTCCTTCATATTCCTAGTTGGCAGATTTGTATTTTTCCAGCTAAACTCTGAGCAAGAAGTTGCGAATTCACTCTACGAAGCCCAACCTCAAAACACATGGTAGGATTTGTTTTAGAAATATTCCAGCAGGGAGGATAAATAATTGAGATAACGAACACGAGACTGTCCCAGTGTATCGCGTGACACCCAGTCCATCTCCATAATGTCTCACCGTTACCATCCCGAAACACCTCTCCCTTCCCGGGCTCCCGCTCTGCTGGACTTGCCCTCGCTGGATGCGTGCATAGAGGAAAGCAACGCAAGAGACCCTGTGCCAGTGGTGACCTGCTTCTCTTGGATGCGGATCTACATTTCATCTTCAGTGAAGGGCTGTAAGCCAGCGCCGCTGCAGCTTCAGGCTCGGGTAACATCTGGGGCGCTTTGCAAGCAGACACCAGGAGCTAAGCCTGCGGCTTCCTCTCTGGATATCCGCCTCCGACAAGCAAGTTAAGGCAGTGAATGACCGACTTTGGGTGCTGCCTTGCACTTGGCATTCCCACTTCGCAGGTCTCAAGCAGCATTAGCATAATTTAATCGGTAAATACTCGTGCATTTTGGCTGCTCACAGCTGAAAGCCCCAGAGGACTTCAAACTCCTCACCCAAAAAGAGATCAAGAAAACAGGCACAATTTTGTAGCCACTAATGGCTTTATACCACGAGGGCGCTAATGATTTCAGCACAATTATCACAGTGGCACTGAGGGGATTAAAAAAAGTCAGGCCAACTTTCACCACAAGGCCGCAGGTCAGAGAGGTCCATGGAAGGTAAAGCCGCCTCTTGGCACCTCTGCCCCATTTCTCAGCCCTGACAGCTCACGCTCGTTTGTATACCCAGAGTCTCTGCAGAATATTAAAAGGGCTTTTGGTTTCCCTGCAGCCAGATGCTCAGGAGATATAAATTGCACAGCTCAACTGAAGTCAAGGGATCAAGGCTCTGTCTCTCTTTTTCTTGATGGATTACTGCAAAATTCATATTTCAGGGGGGAGGAGGAGGAGGCGGCGGTGGCAGCGGTTTATAGCAAATGAAAGGGGAGAACGTTTTGGAATCATAAAGCCTTTGTTCAAATAACTAAAAGGTTTGCAGTCGGCTTTCTCAAGGCCGCATTTTGCCATTACTGGGAACTCCAACCTTGCAAGGCAATGGGGCATAGCACATAGCCGGGCTTCAGGACGTAAGAATTGCAATCCCAGATCTTGCTGCAACCTGCTCAGGGCTCTGAACAACACTCTCCTCCTCCGAGTCTCAGTTTCCTCTTGTATTTTTAGTATGATGTTTCTTTTGTAAAGGCTATGAGGGCAGAGGTTGAGAAGAGACTAAATGTTGCACATGTACACAGGACTAAAGGAGTGTGTTTGATTTTGGTGATAAAACCTACCTGGAAACTCCTCCATTGCCATTTAATAATATTTCCACCGCTTTCACTGCATTTTTCAGAAATGGACACTCGCAAGGAACGTGAACAGGGTTATCCCTGCTGCGGAGAGAGTTCGGCAACAAGACCGAGCCGCAGCTCCACAAAGCAGACCACGGCAGCTCCAGCTGGAGCCCAAGCGCTGCAGCATCCAGGCACACCTCCACGCATCCCACCCTTACAATTTGGGCAGTCCTGTGTCACAAATCAATACAATACAAGTTGAATAGGTCCATTTTGAAGAAAATTTCCTTTTTCAAAGGAAGTGGGAGGCTAGGGTTTTTTTTTTTTTTTCAGATAGTGCAATGGACACCTTTCCTTAAATCTCCAGGAAGAGAA